CCTACCCTTCTCTTCTGTCAGTATCTCTTATATGTGGCAAGGGTAGCAACTGGTTGTAGGGTGACAGCAGCGAAAATAGTATTAATTATTTTTGGGTGGGCGGTGATAGGCCAACCACGTCATCTGCAACGGTTTAAAGAGACTGGAAGATGGCATGCCCCTGCTCCTGGTAGCTCACAAGTGAAGTATTTCAACAGTTTCTTGACGTCGAAATGTCGTCACGGTGGGCAACTTGGATGCAACAAGTTAGTTGCAGTTGATGTGGGCTCCTCGGTTGGAATGTACGGCAAGAAAGCTGGAAGCGTAGACTTCGCTCATTGCTCAGGGAAAACCAAAGTTGCTTTATGGATGCTTTGTTGCTCGATGTCGGGTACCACTGATTTCCTTGTTTCATGTCGGGGCGAATTAGAAGAGACTATCCGTGTAGTCGGAGGCATTCTCATGAAGACTGATTTTTCCACTTTTGCAAAAAGTATGCCTACTTAGACCTCCATAGCGTTGGCGTTTAACATCGCTCCCTGGTCTCATTGTCCCTCCGCTGTGTAGGTTCGTGTGAATTGAAGATACACATGTAGGAAAGCAACTTTATTTTCGTATAAGATAAACTTCGTTAGTGAACTCCAACTTCAAGCCACATACACTAAGTATACTCATATTTGTGCAAAAGTATATTCATCCCCTTCTACTTAACCAAATGCAATCCAATTACTCGATTATTATAAAAGTTTGTATGAGAACACAAAAAGTGTACAAGTGTATAGTCTGGCATCTCTGAGAGCGGCAGTAGCAGTGGGTTATTAATATGCAACTCATGTTGCTGACTACCAAACAAATAATGTGGGAACAACTCAAACGTACAAGTAACCGATAATTCCCTAAAGTAGCAATAAAAGAAAGGCGAAACAAAAATAACAAACGGAAAGCGCAAATCTGCTGCTTAAAAGACAGAAGTACTCTCGCATTACTGAGTATACTTTTTCGTCGTAGGACGATGATTCCGTAGGGATAGGTGTATGTACATATGTACATACACATCTGCTTAGTAGGCACATTTATGCCGCCACATTAGCGTTCCGGTACTTTACGCCAACAACAATTTAATTTATTGCACTTCATCATTCCAGGCACAAGTATGGGTATAAGAAAAATGGGGAAGAAAACTAAGGAAAAGTTAGATTGACATGCAAATGGAAATGTAAGAAGGAGTCGCAAGGCAATGAAGGAGTGAAAACCATAGACGTAAAACACAAAAATGATGGAAACAAATTGAATGACAAAGCTAGTGCGACATAGTATTTTTGTGTCGTTTGTTGGCAGTTGCGCATTGGCAAAGTGGGAAATTCGAGGACCTCGTAGGAAAATGGCATTAAAGTGAAAAAATACCACCCAATTACTATTATCCTTTAAATCGAAAATAAATCAAAAAGCTGGAAAAAGTGAAATTTTATTCCTTTTACCGGAAGAAAACGGAGAAAAAGTTTCCGCTAGAAAAGGGTTTATTGCCTAGACAGACGACAACGTTAATCGGATTAAAGGCGCAATTGATATAATCAAAATTGTATCCTGACAGGCGAGGTCGTGAATTCGAGTCCCAAGACCAGCAAATTTTTTTAAATGTTTTTTTTTTTTAGCTCCTTTTTTAGCGTAATTATACGTAACGTTGTGGCCTTTCAATAAAATTAAAGTCTAAAAAATTTATTAACTTGAAATAACATAAAACAGAAAGTACAATAAATTATTTGAACAAAATTATATATATTATAAAATAAAATAAAAAGTAAAAAATTATTTTTAGGAATTTCTCAGGTTTTGAGAAATAACTCTATTTCGAGATAATTACAAATAAATCCAGATCTACGCTGCCGTTTGTCTATGCTTTAAGGCTGCTAGTTTTTTGCATCAGATGTGTACATTTCTGAAGCTTACACGATTTTCTTGACATTTCTTTTCTTCAACGGTATCATTTGTCAAGATTTTGAGCCCACCCTTTTCTTTAAGTCATAGATGGATTCTTAAGACTGTCAGCGTCCCACTAACTCCTTTTCCATTCACTTTCCTACAGGTTACTACAGTTAGCTGGGAAAGAAATATAATTTCAATAAAATCATACAAACGCCAAAGTCAGTGGCAAAATGAGCGCGCACCACACAAATTATTAATGAGACGCAAGAACCGAACCGCACAATTATTTATGACCATACGTAGTGGCAAACGAATTTTTGTTTTTGCTTTTTGATAAATTACCCTTATACAAAAACCAAAAAAAAAACTTTGCTATATACCATCAGTTAGTAGAGGGTTCAACTGGAGCTGCGCGCCAAGAATGCCGTTTTTCCCCCCAAACTGCGAAAGCCAAGCAGCAGCAGCAGCAGGACTGTCTGCATAAAGTTTGACCTAAATTCAAAGTTCTGAGAAATTTTAGTAATCAAATCGATTCAAGGGTTGCATCATATCGAGCGTATTTACAAAACTACATAACTTTACTTTGTGCAAGTACATACAATCAAACGGATAGCAGGATTAAATGCTGCTACTGATGGGCGGATGTGTGGCATATGCTCGCCTAAGCGGAGGCTGCTCAGCTGTGTGCCGGGCGGAAGTTATAATTAGTTCCGGTTTTAACAGTTCTTTTACTCGCGCTTTACGAAAACTATATATGAATTATGAGCACACTTGAGATTAGAAAAAAAATAAATAAAATATGCAGCTGTATGCCTGCCTTATGTGTATGTATGTATGTAGCTGCGCACGTGTAATACATGAAATAAGTTTGTTAAGATTACAGATGAGATTAAATGATGAGTATTTAGATGAACAGCAGCAGGGGTAGGGGTAGACGGTACAAATGTATTTATAGCAAGTTAGGGTAGATGATTACGAGACGAGGGTTTGCAATAACATTTGGAATAATTTAAGGGTACAAGCGCAGAGACATGCCTGCACATGTGTCTGCATGTGTAATGTTTCGAGACACAAAACTGATCAAAATGGGGGATGTTGGAATTAAATTAATTCATTTGTTCATTTCAAAGAAAAATTATGTGAGTTCACTTTGTATGCATTAAAGTTAAAGAAACATCGCTTATTGAAGTGGCTAATTATGGCACTTGAGACATGAAGAATTAAATCGGTAACGAAAGTATGCATACGGTTAAATCCTTTATGCTTCCAAGCTTGCTTTGGGGCGTTGCAGGTTGTCCAAGTAATATTATCAATTTAGAAAATCAACTTAATTATGAACAAGAGGCATCTTAAGGCTTGAAATGTGAATTAAATAATTGTTTTTATAACAAAGAAGAAAATTTAAGAGATGATTTTTTTTACTCATAAATGCTTAGCTGTTTCGGGATAAGGCTAGTTTTCACTATGTCAAATTCTGACACCACATATTGTCAACATATTTTGACACAGTTGTATCTTATTTTCCCATACCTATACTGATTATATTATTGGTCAAAAATGGAGAGATAGCCAATTTAACAGCACATATACACGACTAAAGACCTATTCTGATCTAAATCAATCGATAAACCGTTTTTTTTACAACGCTTTTATCAACTTGCAATGTTGTGTTCCAGAAACTTTCAATGTTGTGTTCCAGAAGCTTTCAATGTTGTGTGTCCGACACCATAAAGCAAAGCTTTGAAAAGCTCCTATAAAAAAGCATAGTGAATAGGGCGAGGTAGAGACATCTAGATGTCGCCCTATGTACTACGTTTGCTACACCGGAAATAGACGACACGCCATTCTTTAAATAAAATTAATTGGTGCTCGTTTGTATGTACATACATATGTAAATGCATGTGTGTGCACCTTTCTATTAATATCGTTGAATTATTTTAATATCTATTGCAAAATTTTATTCAGACAGGACTAAAAAGTAGAAAATAAATAATATAAAAAAAACTTTTTAATATACAACGCTTTTATAAATGGA